CCCAAAACCCCAAAACCCCAAAACCCCTAGTTCTTCAATATATCATTAGATCGAAAATAAGTAAAATAATAACAATAAACAAAAGCATTAATATTCTTGAACTCAATTGAATGTGCTAGAGATATAAATATACAGACTGATTGATGTGTAGAACATAATTTGAGCAAAACCAAACAATCCAAAAATCAAAGCAGGATACTTGTGTTTCTCCTCCTTATTATCATCTGCCAGGCATAGCTAAAAGAATAAGAATCCTGGCACAACATTTATTAGCATCGGTATTGTGGTAGAACCACTAAGGTTACTTAAATACTCAGCTAGATATTCTGATTGTTAGCAGGCCAAGAATATATTGAAGGAGTATAGTATAAAAAAGCAAAAATTCCTGATTTAGTTTTTTCTCACACTATTCCTATCTTTGACAAGAGATACAGGGCTTGGAAAGGCTGATTATAGCAGTTTCTTTTTTTATTTGCTAGTAGTCTCTCTTTCGAATATCTAGGATTATCTATTTTATCTATATTTTTCTACATAATTGCTAGTATCTCTGTAAATAAGCTCATCAAAAAGGATATGTATATGTATCCTACTTTCATAAAAAGTATAAAGAAGCTGTAAGATGCTCTAAGTTAGTACCATAATAAGTAGTATAATAGAAAGTAAGTTGGCTAAATTGTCATTTTTATTCCCAGTCATCAATATAGTCATAATGTCTAGGGAAAAAACTCCTTCACTACATTCACTCGTGCTGGTAACTCCATAAAGATAAGAATGAAGAAATAACACAAAATAGTAGGTAAATGATATAATTAGACAATATAGGCATGCTTTGAAAGCTCTCCCTCCATTATGATCCTTGATAACTGAAAGTTAGTGCATAGGCATTACGAATCCCTCGAAACTAAAAGCAAAGCAGATGTTTGGAAAAAGACTTAATAAATTGTCATTAAGACTTAAAACTCTCCAATTAGGCTTTTTGCAATCTATTTGTTTGATTATAAAAGGAAAAGTTATCAGAATGAACAAAAGTATTAATGCTACCACAACAGATATCATTCTTGCAGTTTTCTATATGAAAATTAAAAAAGAGTGAATTAAGTCTAATGATTACCTTAAAATGCTCAAATTTATATTAATAGCAGGGATAGAATAGGATCATAGAAGCAAGTAAAATTATACTCGTACTCAAACTTTCATTGTAGGGTTAATCTAGATGCAGATTTTGATTACTTATTCTGCATATCAATTCAACAACAACAGAACCAATAAGTTCTAATATAAGTAAATTAATAATTCAATTTAAGCAATTAAGAGCTGATAAGAAATACTAAATACTTACTAAAATACTATGAAGGGTAAAGTGAGAAAGTGAAAATAATTATGACACTCACACCAATAACTGAAGCACGCCCTCCTCCATTGTAATAAGCTATTTCTTGAAAATTACTACTCTAGAAATATAGGCAATTATTTAAAGAAGTAATAGTTGATTTATTATTACGTAAAGTCTTGTAATTAGCACCGCATTTTGAGAATCAACATAGTAGAATACAAACCTTATAGGAAATTTAAACCCATTAAAGATACTCCTGATTTAGATTGTTAAGAGAGAAATTTTACCTGTGATAAATATTTGCCAATTAGAGAAACTTGGGAAATACATGAAACCAATTCCGATGGCTCTTGAAACTAATAGGATAGTTTAATCAAATAATCCGTAAAACTTCTTTGTATGACTTTCGATACTACCAATTTCATCTTCAGAACAAAGATCAATCAATAAGTCTCTATTCATATTTTAACTCAGTGCTATGGTTTTATTCTTTAATTAGCTAAATGAGGTTAAATTGAGTTTCCTAATTTTCTGGGAATTATCATTGTTGCTTCCAGCTGTCAGTAGATAACCACTAGCAATTTAATCATCAGTGTATTCCTAAGTATTTATAACATTCCTTTATCAAATTTTAGTGAATGGAAAGTCCTCCTCTTGAAAGGGGGTAATAGAAGTTGACTAACATAGAGTGATGATATATATTTTATGATTTACCAAGTCATTTTAGTTTGAACTCATGATTTTTAAATGCAGATCTTATCTTATTTCAGATTGAATCCCGTATTTATATATTTTATTTTATAAATTTGGATAAAGTAATTCTATTAATACTCATTGTTTTCTCATTAATATTTCAGAAATTACACAAGTAATAAAAGTTTTAAGGGGTTTTGGGGTTTTGGGG